GTTTCGGGCTCAGGCCCGGCAGTAACCTTTTTTCCCCCTCTGGCCTTTTAAAACGTGATGTGCATTTTTTTTCTAATAGCAGGATGGCAAGTCGAAGTCGTGTGTTGTTGTTGTTTTTTTTTTTTCCGGAAAGGATGCAACCCCCGTGGTGGGACGCTACGTCCGCGCAAACTTGCCTCACGCTGATGTAAAACAGGCCCTTCTTCGTGCCTGCAAAAGCCTCATTAAAGGCACCGAAATTTCGTGAAGCGTTCACCCAGCCACGATATGTTTTCGCTGAGTCCCCTTTCCCCACCCTGCCTCAGCTCTGAGCGCCAAACTCCTGAAACAAACCCCGATGCCTAACTGCCACCAAAACTACGAAGTGCCAGGTCTCTGCAGTGGTTTGGCCCGGGGGTTTTGCCTGGGGGCATCCCTGCACAGCACTGGGCTCGGAGGTGGTGGGGAGGCAGCCAGGGCAGGGGACAGCAGGAGCCAAGGGTGCAACCCAGGGCCCCTTTCGCACCCCTATATAACTTGGGTGAGGGAAAGCAGTGGCAGCAGCAGGTGGAGTTCCTTTCCTTCCCCGTTTCTGTGCTGGTTGCTTCACAGGTGCCAGCTATGAGGGCCGGGGGTTTAATCTGTGTCCGGTGCACATGGGCTATGTAAGCCATTAATTAGGCTGGAGGGGTGACTGCTAGTAGAGAGTCTTCTAGGTGGTGGGATGCAAAGTGCAGCCAAACACAATAAGGCTAAAGGGTTGTTGTTTTTATTCAATAGTTGCTATAACTAACTGGTGGGAAAATTTGGCAAGTGGGGCGGCAGTGCTTTTGCTGCGAGCAGTAAGGACAGCTGCTCTTCCAGAGGGTGGGTACGCACGCGTGCGTGCTTGCTTTGGTTCAACAGAGATTAACCTGGGGAGCCTGGTTGGCGGGAAGCAAATCTGATGGCAACAACAGCCCCCGCTGGCCCTCTACTCCTGGTGCTTTTGGCCAAGTCACCAGGCGCAAAGAAAGCCCAAATTTGCCCGTTCGGTGTATCCGCCCTGGGCACCCGATCAGGGTGAGCTCAGCGCAGGACAGGCTGGCGTGTCCTGGGGACGGCAGGCAAGCGGGTAAAACGAGGGGACCCTGTTTCCCCCATGCGTCCGACGCTGTGTGAGGCGACTAGCTTTTCCCTGGTGGCGTGGACTTCGTAAGATGACTTGGTGAGGTTTAGTCTGAACGTAGCCTGTAAAACAGATCCCCATCTATAACTGTTGCCCCTGGAGGTTGTATCCTGCTAAGGGCTCTCAAGGTGCAGCTCCGGTCCTGGCCCGATTCAGCTTGCGCCATTCAGGGGAGAAAGCCGTCCAAAGCGATTTGAAGCACCCGTGGGCTGATTTCTTTTTAGCCATTGGATGCGTGTGCCTGCCTTCACGCACCTGAGGAGCCCTGCTGCTTTATAAAGCTCCTTTATAGCAAATATTATTCACATCTGTAACGTACTTGTACAAGCTACTAATCATTTTATTACTCTTTATAGTCTATTTAAAGGCACAATTAGGAAAAAAGTCTATATGGAGTTACAGCTTAAAGCATGCTTTACTTACATTACAAATCCCCCCAAAACAGGAATCGAATTGCCGCAGTGCACCGAGGCAAGGAGGTACAGCCGGAGGTGGTGGTCTGCGCCCATCTCGGCCCTTCAAAACACTGCTCCTTCGGGCTCCAGCAGCAGGTAGTCGCGCAGGGGCTTGGGCACGGGCAGCAAGGGGATCAGGCAGTGGCATTTGCTGCCAAACTTTTTCCGAATGGCAAAGCGACACAAATGTTGCAGGCACCGCGCTGTGCCCGATAGCCGAAAAAGGGACTCGTAGAAGGTCAGGTGCTGCTGAAAAAAGAAAAAGGGGGGGGGGGGAAATGAGTTTTTTTTTTCTGTTCAGCCACGCAAACCAGAGAGATATAACTGATTTTCCTCTGGAAGCACGTGTGGGAAGATACCGAGTCTCACCATAGGTGGTGTTTTGGGGAGTGTGTTTTCCTGCATGCCGAAAGCAGCATCCCTGCAGAAAAAGCCTTAAAGCTTTTTCCCCGCAGGGTTGAAGCAAGAGAGACCTGCTGATATCAAAGATGGGGCAGGCCGGGAGGGGGAAACAACCTCAGAGACCTGGCTGTACGGGGTCAGCTTGTCCCTAGCTCGGATTAAAACCTGTTTCTAGCGTGCCCTAGATCTCCCTGGTTCCCTTGACGGGAGCGCCACTGTGAGCCAGGGCACCTCGGGCTCGGTGGGCCATCTCCTCCTCCGGGCCAAGCTGTCCCCGTCAAAATGACCTGGGGCGGCCTCACCTGAAACACCTCCTCTGGAATGGCCTCGGCCCACGTCTCTGACACAGCGATTTGCGAGTAGGAATTGAAGAGCATCTCGATGATCTCTGGCACGGCTGCGCAGGACTTCAACACCTAGAGAGAAAATAGAGGTGACGGAGCCGGGGGTGAGGAAGAAAATCCTCGATAAATGCTTCCCGGGGGAGCAGAGCCTCGGCGCGCGGCAGCGGGGGCTCATCCCTTCCCACCCCAGCATCCACAAAACGACAAGGAGATCAGTGCCAGGGCTCTGCTGTGCTGCTGCTTTCCCCGGGAGCGGCGTTTGCTTTTCGTTTAATGCTTTTGGCTTGCGTGCTGTAAGCTGGGATAACGTTTTCCTTTATTGTTGGAAGTAAAAAGCAATGGCACGCGTAGGCCTAAGAAGGCTGAGCTGGCAGCTGATGTACCACGCTGGTCTCCGCTTGCCTGCGAGAGAGACAGGAAAGCCCTTGCTTCTAAACCTCCGTGCCAAGGCTAGTTTCAGCCCCTCCTTTGCCCCGTCTCCTTTTCTTCTGGGGACGGGCTGGATGTGTTCAGCTCCATTGCCGTGTCACATTTGCATTTCGGTGTCCCGTCGCTCCTGGCAGTGATGGAAACCACAGCGTTGGCAGTCCCATCTCGCTGCCTGGCTTGGGGTGGCCCTTGAGTCTCTGTTGTGCTTTGCAAAGTGCTCGGGTACTGACCGCAAAAGCACCCGAGGTGCAACGGGACAGCAGGACGTGCAGGAGTCCAATTTTGGGAACAACCCGCCAGGAGATTCCTGACCATGGCTCTGGTCAGCCCTGAAGGTCCAATCCTACCATTGGCCAGCTGAATCTTCACTGATGTCCCCCCCACCATCTACCTCCCACAGGGGTGACCTTGCTGGGGCCATCTATCGCCTCCACATCCCTGAAGATGCTCAGAGGAGGAGAAGCCGAGGCCACCGAGCCCCCAGCCCTGGAGGAGCACGTACCTTCATGAAGGCGCTGGGCCAGATCTTTTGGGAGCCGTGGTTGAGCAGCACCTGGACGCAGAGGTAAGGCCGCAGCTCCCGCTTGTAGG